GGAGGGAAGGAAGGAGGGAAGGAAGGAGGGAAGGAAGGAGGGAAGGAAGGAGGGAAGGAAGGAGGGGAAAGAAGAAGGGAAGAAATAAGGCAAGAAAGGAAAAAGGAAAAAGCTAGGGAAATACATCAGTTATTTTTTTGTCTAGGATCTAACTTCCTGAAGACAATCTTTTCAAAGAGAATAATTCTGTCCCTGGCTGAATTACTTAAAAATTATATATAATTAGAGAAATTGACTATTTGGGCAGTCAATCAGACTGTAGCTGCTGGATTTATTGAGCAATTGGCAGGTCATAGCCTGGATAAACATAATACCCATTTGATTATGACAGACTTGGGATTCCTGTCCAACTTCTCTTTACAAATGAGGAAACTGGAGCCCAAACTGAAGCTCAGAGATGGAGAGTGACTTGGCCAACAGCACTTAGGAGGGACGGCAGGAGCTGCAGGGAAGACTGACTCTCCCCAGTCCTTTGTGCTTTTAAACACATGATGCAGAGAACCAGAAGAAAACCCCTCCCCCAATTCCCATCAGCCAGCTCTGATTTCCATGATTACTTCATTCCTAGGAGCCAGAGGGACAGAATGGCCCCTAGTTGCAGGTATCAGTATTTATGCTAGGAAGTTCTAACATGATATATCACACAAACATACCTAGTCTATCGATCTCCAAGCCCCAAAATATTTAGTGTTACTTAAATTTGCACCAACTTGTGTCATGATTTGAATAAATTATGCCAGGTGGAAGTTCATGGACGTGGGCCAGTGGAAAGTGAAAACAGGGAGGGTCCATGCACAGTCGGAATTGATGATGTTGCCCAGCAGTTCCTGGGCTCACTGCGGCACCCTAGCAGTTCTGGTTAATGCTCTGGCATTTGTAGGTGTCCAGCAAGGCCACGTTACATATGGGGAGCAGAAAGCTAAGCTGCAAAGCAAACATCTTAGACAGGTCTCGGTGTATTAAAGGCCCCAAGAATATCCATGTGGCTAAAGCAGATTGGGACAGACAGGCTGTGATCTCAGAAGAGTAAGCCCGGAAGCAAGCGGATAGGTCACTCAGAACCTACAGTTAAATAAGAAATTTGGATTATATCCTAAGCACAGCAAGACATCACAGGAGGCCTTTAGACAGGGAGTGGTAAACCCTGTTTTTATTTTTAAAAGATTGTTCTAGCGGCTAGGCAAAAAATAATGATTAAAGGAAGGTAGGCTAGAGGGGAAACAACAGAGGTTGGAAGCACACTGCAGAAGGGAAGGGTGAAGACGATGCTGCCATTGACTAGGCTGATGGAAGTAGAGAGGAAAAGAAGTGGTGAGGGATGATGGGTTGGGGGGTGGGTGGGTGGATGACTGGATGGATGAGTGGGCGATGAGTAGGTGATTAATTCCATGACACGGCACGTAGAACCCATGACTTTTGTCCTTGATTTCTTACTGTCTGAACCCAGAGAGGTATTTATCATCTTCTGTAAGAAGTTTCTTTACCATGTAATATTTTCTTAGTTGATAAAGGGTGGGTGAAATAATAAGAAGTAGGCCACTAGCATGAAGAACAAATACCATGCTACCCTCAAGTGGCAGATGAAGAGACCTAGATCCTTAGAGGAATGTACTTGGCCTGTGGAGCAAGAATCCAGCACTCTTCACCTAGCTTGGGGGTTCCTGATTGACTGCAGGGGGATGTGGCCATGATCATGTGCACAGGAAAGAAACCTGGGCCATCAGTCCTGAGCACATCTTGTGGAGTCTAATGGAGGTCACCATGGATCGTTCTCTCCCCTGGGGAAAACCAGGAGGAGGAAAAGGTACAGTAAGCTCTTCTCTGGATCACAAAAGGGTGAGACTGCAAAGACTGGCACCTCCCAGGAGTATGAAGAAGGAAGAAGACAAAAGAGGAGTCACGTGTGAGTGCCCCTAGGAGTCTGATGAGGCTGGAAACAGAAATTTAAGGGGCAAAGAAAAGGTCATAGACGAGAGAGTTCTTGGAATGTTAAAGGTAAAGCATAGAAAATCAAAGCACCCAGAAAGAAGACTCTAAACTTGGTCATGTCAGAGTTCCGGATGTGAGTTAAGGAGAGGAAGCAGAGAGATAGAGAGGAAATGAATAAGTGACAGAGAGCTACTCCATGTGGGGAGAAGTGTATTAGAACTCTGTGTTTGGGTGAGGGGTGCGTGTGTGTGTGAGTGTGCATCCATGGTTGTGTGACCTTATTTCATGATAGTTTTGTTTGTGTATGTGTATATGAAAGAAAGGTTTTGGAGAGATAGCTGAGAGTTTTCATTTCAGAAGGAGGGGAGATTATTTCTATCGCTTTAAAGCACAGGTCCATACGGGCTTGTACTGGGGAGTGGGTGGCAGGCAGGAAAAAGGACAGAGGAGGGGGACAAAGGAGCACCACCAAGTACAGAGGCAGCCAGCCCACCACCACTCTCTACTCTCCCAGAGCAATTTTAATTCCTGTGCACTGGGCTTACCCAGCCTATTCTATGGTGTGTCAGTCCTCTGCATCACTAGAAATTACTTAGCAAAGTATCTCATTTTTTTTGAGACCCATAAGAGCATCTTTCCTCTGTTTTTTCTTTTTCCCAAACACCATCTTCTGGAGTTGAATGATTCTTTGCAGCCCATCTCAGCACCACCGTCAGACAGCAAAGGCCTCCAGGTTATCCTGAGAAGGAGGGAAATGCAGAAAATAATACTACTTTTCTTGCCCTCTCAGGTGACTGTGGAAGGGAAGAGTAAATATCTATTCTGTAGGAGTTCCCTGGAAGGTAGATTTGATAGAAACTGTGGAGCAGGGGTGAGAGTGTGCTCACAGTAAGCAAGATTCTTGAGCTGAGAGGTCAGTGAATATTTCTAGAAGACACAGTAGAAAGATTTGGAAGAGGCGGGCTGGGGTGCTAAGTTGTCAGTTTGGTCTGTTCTTGGTCAGAGCCTTTTCTTGTGGAGCTGAATTCTGGTCACACCAACCTGGATGGAGAGTTGAGCGCCTGACCCTTTTGTTCCAAAGTACCACTAACACCATTTAATTTGGATTGCACTTGAGACATGCAGTGGCTCAGTAACAAGCCGACAGAAAATGCTGTGAGAACAGCGCTATGG